TCGTGCTTAAATTTGTCAAAACAGGATTAAACACAAGTTCTTTAATGCACAGTTTTTGATGTTTAATTCTTTATCTTTTCTAAAAAATAAAAAAAAAGGACAAAACTGTTTCAATGCTGTATTTTCTGCCACATAAACAAGAAAGCAGAAAAATTTCCCTTTTGTAATTTTGAGAGCACATTTAGTACTTGGTGGCTCTCAATCACTAATTCAATCACTAAAATAATATTAGTTAAAATGTTAAACTCATTTTTCAAGGTGATGAGTGTATTGAAAATGATACTATTCAACAGTAAATATTGTCATAACTCCTTTCAGTGCAGATACATTTAAAAAACACAACTCTACTGCTATTTGACAATAGATTTCTGGGTGGTTGAATCCAACTTTAATTCTTCACAGAAGTAAGCTGAAGCTCTGAACAACAACCAGATGCTTGTCATTCTGTCTATCTCTTCACTATTTCTGCACAGGGTTTTGTGACTAATACTGTTTGAGATTTCTCCACATTGCTGGACTGTTTAGTGGCAAAAGTTTTCTCCCAAGTCTGTGTGTGTTCTTGATTACTGTGATGTTAGTTTCTTGTGGTGCGTGGCCTAATAGCTCACTTCTCACACACATCCAACTGTAACTTTTTGCAAACGTTAATGTTTCGTTGTGTTCACATGCTAAAACACCAAGAAAGGGATAACTTTCTTTGATTGCAAGGTTATTTATGAGCTGATAGTCATGACAAAGACTATTAGTTTTGGAGTTTTCTTGTCCACTCGTCTTTACGAGGTTGTTGTGTCTTCCAATGTTTATAGTTGACGAGTTTTAGGACTTGTAGGATTTGTTCTTTTTGTAGATTTTTCTTTTTGTTATTTTGGTTAGGGGCATTGCTTCTTTGGACAATTATTCCATCTGGTTTTGATGCTGAGCCACAAAGCAATTTTTGCTCTAACTGTTTTTTTTTATTCATAACCGTGCATAACCGTGGCAACACGATATTTGTGGTAGGGGATTTTCAAGCCAGAGCAGCTGATTAGCATCTTAAGCTCAAATAGTACCGGAACTACAAACCCAAATCCCAGAGGAGTTGAAAAGGAGGCTTCATGGTTGCAGAACAGAACCAGAGAGCAGAAAGAGAAAGCTAAGACCATCTCTTCTATTGATCATTATAGGCAAGACAGAAGAGGGATGTTAAAGAGAAGATTGTAGTCTCCACTGTCTCTGCCCAGCTTTCTAACCATATGAACAAGCAGAGGTTTTAAGAAGAGCAGCGAAGGCAACTGAGGTGGATTAGCAGCAATTGCTAACAACACATAGACTTGGGAGAAAACTTTTGCCACTAAACAGTCCAGCAATGTGGAGAAATCTCAAACAGTATTAGTCAGAAATACTCCCATCAACCAACCCTGTGCAGAAATAGTGAAGAGATAGACAGAATGACAAGCATCTGGTTGTTGTTCAGAGCTTCAGCTTACTTCTGTGAAGAATTAAAGTTGGATTCAATCACCCAGAAATCTATTGTCAAATAGCAGTAGAGTTGTGTTTTTTAAAACGGATCTGCACCATCTACAACAGCATGAATCCAAAGATACAGGTTTTGGTTAAATTCTGCTGCATTTCTAAACTTTAGTGGCATCATTTAAATTGGATAAAGATTTCTGGGCCAAACATCCCTTAGTATGTTTGGTCCAGGAGAGGCTTAAAGTTTGCAAGACTTTAAATGGTAATATAACCAAATCGAAATTAACTTAGTTGCAGATGGATTAAAAAAAAACACTTAAATCTACTCCATATATCTTTGCTATCGAGTCAACAGAAAGACATCCTATCGAAATGTTTTCAGAAGCAAAACTTTCTCCAAATTTGTACTTTAATTATATTTTTATTGCAATTGCTATTACATTTTTTTCTGCTGAAGTAAATACTTCATGAAACTCATTCTGAATGCAGAGACAGTCTGTGCACTACGAGAGACTGACTAAGATCCATTTATTAAAAAAAATATTCAAGCTGTTGAAAAGATTTGTCAACATGTTGCATGCCAAAAAAAATAAAGACAAATCCACATACCTTCCAAATTTTTTTTTTTTTTTGCCAGTATGAAATGGTTTGCCCTGACTAGTTTGGTATGACTAGCTACAAACAACTCTGCCAAAGCTTTCAAAGTAGATGGCATTTGTTTGAATGCAGAAATTGTCTCATAAGAAATCTAAAGTGTCTCCTACCTATCTGTCACCTCGGTTCTGAGCATTCAGGTGACAACAGCCAAGCAGAATAGCGATGGGCAGGCAGTCAGTAAATAGCTTCTATTTGTGACACAGATGAATAAATCATGCTGGTCTGCAGTCTGCTGGCACATTTGCTTTTTGCAAAAACCAGAAAAACTCAACAAATCAGAAAAAAATGCTTCTGACAGGCAAGAGTGCATTACTTTCAGCTTCACGTTCATAAAAACACTAAGATTATAGCTTGTTTATCCAAGATGACATTAGAGCTGCTCCTGTTTAGGCTTTCAAAATCCATTCAGCAATCCCAAAAAGGCAGAGCAGTGGTCAATTACAAGCATTATCATGGACTGCCACTGACATAGCTTGATTGAAGAAAACAGAAATTAGAGAGCAGTTGGTGAGTCTTATTTCTATTAAGTTGTCCACTTCTCTTCAGTCTTCCCTTAAACCACTTCTGCAGTGAGAATCCCACTCGATAACCTCAAATAGTCAAGTAACGGCCAATTAAAACTTTCCTTAAAGTTTCCACATCTCTCTGTGTATTATAAAGTATTACTCTACATAAAATCTAAATTTGCTCTGCAGCACCTCCTTTCAATGCCAAAGCAGAGCTGAAAAATTTAAGCTTCTACTCAACCGTTGCATGTAAAACCTTAAAATCTCATCTCGCTGACAGATCTAAGCAAAGAGCTTTCCTCCCCTCACCGCATTAAAGGCAATCTAAAGATGCTGCGCCAGTTGATCAGAGGGAACTGCAGCCGTGTGGAGGCAAATTACTGTCACCAGGCCTGATGGACCTTTTCCCTCCCAGTGGTCACGGGGAGGCACTCGACCTCCGTTCACGCAATTTGATTCGAAGCGTGTTTGCGCCTCTGGATGGGAGGAAACCAAGCTCTGTCTGTGCACCATTAGCAACACATATGAGGGGAAAAATGAAAAGCATCCAAACAGAGAACAAGAAAACTCACAAGCAGGCATGAAATAATATTATATTTTCACACTGTGATAACGTTGAGTTAAAATACCACATTTTCACTGGTTTACCTAAAATAACAATTTTTAAAAAATAAAAACAGCATCGCAGGCAGATGTTATACTCTGCTTTCACTTAAAACAAAAGAGCAACACTTATCTAGACTGTTGCAGATATCCCATAATATTTGGTACGTTTATAAAGATATTGATCCTTTCTTGTTTTGATGTTAATTCAAAAGCGTCTGATCCCTTTTTATATTTTTGACATTTGTAGAAGTGAGTAGTCAGGCTATCTGCTTTAGTTGCCAGTTTTCAATCTTCTCTTTAAAATACCTTCTTGTTGCTTGTCTTAATAAGAGTGGTAAGGAGCACTTCTTTTGTTCCCACATCCTGACTAAGAAAGACTTTCTAAAGATCTAAATTCTACGTTTTCATAAGAATATACTGATTTCTTTCAGCCAAAGCAAATAGCAGAACGGAGCAACTGCCCAGCACTTTCCCTGCCTCTCATTAAAAGGATTTCCTGGTTTAACCTTGGTAGTGCTTGACCACAAGTCTCAAGCCCTTAAAAGATCAACGACCAAGTTCGATCCAAAACTCTCCAATTAATCAAGTTGCTTGAGTTGCAAAAATACCTTGACATTTAGCATAAAATACCTCCAGTGCAAAAATGATTGAATGCAAACACTTACATGACTGTTCATTTATATTTTTACTGTAGGTGGTTTGAATTGATTGTTGCTCTTGGCAGAGAGATGAGAAGTAAATTCCTAAATTGCTCAAAAGGATGATAATATATAAGGACTAATTAGTGGTGCATTGAAACAAGTAGGAAATTTTAGCCTTGAGACTTTTCTTTGACAAGGCTTTGCTTTTATGAGCTTAAAGAAGGCAGTAATTACACTACGAACAAACAACAGCCAAATAAATAAACAACATTGTAATAAAGAAAAGCGGTGGGACATCTGAGTTAAATTTACCATGACCACAAACAGAGTAAGCTGAAGAACAGGGTGCCAGAATTAAGCAGAGTAAGCAGGTTAATGCCAGAGTTCAAAAACATCATCCTCGCTTAATTAGATCCTGGGAGTCCAGAGAAAATGACCCATTTTTTTTTTTTTTTAAAGGGAGCTACTTATGGAGCTGTGGTGATTCAGGAATAAATGACATGGAAATCCCACAACAACAACAACCAAAGTCTTTGTATTTATGAAGCAAAGAACTCCCTGCAAGATGGGCCTGTCTACTTTAATGTGCCTAACCGAGGTCGATCAGGATGTACTAATGCAGCCTCTGAGAAACAGGATCCCCACGGGAGCTGAGAAATATGCAACATCTTACAGCAGAGACCAGGCGTCATTTCCTCAAACTTCCATTCAAAACCAGCATCTGGAGACGAGTGAGATAATGCGAGTGGGGATCTTTTTTTTTTTTTTTATGATCATCTACCACCATAAATCTGATCATTCCACATCAAAAAGCCCCAAAGAGAAGAGAAATAACAGCGCAGCCACACTGAGACCGAGAGGCTGCTCTGCTCTGCTCTCTTGCATTGCGGTCTCAACAGCTGGAAAACGCCCGACCACTTCGGGTAAGTGAATCCTCCGGCTCCCAGTTGGAACTTACAGCAAAATAACAAAGATGCGCACATAAATGTCCCGAGACGCTGCAGAAAGAGCCGTGCAGAGACGCACGCTGTCGCCTGCAGCAGTGACAACAACACCCCCGTTATCAACACAACACGGGAAGAGGACGCCGAAGGAAAACAGCCAGCGAGAGTCGGATGAAACTTGGAAAATAATGTACCCGTGTACTGCAAGAGGAACATTTTCCACGGAAGGCGAGCTGAGAGTCCTTATCGGTCCTGTGCTGTAGGACGAACTGCAGGAGGTTTAAAAAAATCCTTGAATGGAGCCGGGGCTGGTGTCTCTGTCAGTCCGCTCCTCTGTGCTCCGCTCGGCAGACTGAACTGCAATGAGAGCAGCCAGTCGAAGTGGGACCCTTTTTGACTACGGCAGGCGAAGCCCGCCCTCTGGACGAGCCCGGTTCGCCGGATGGAGCCGAACAGTTCGCTAGGCGCGCGCGAACAGCGAGCGGGCGACGCTGTTCCGATGTTCCTCCTGCTGAAAAACGCTTTGCTCTTAAATCTTTTACACCTTGCGATAACGAGGCGCGTTCATGCGTTAGTGAAGAGCAAAGGAATAATGCTGCTTCCAAGCTTCATTATTCTCCTCCGCAGGCAAACCCAGTTCATTTAGCGCAGCCCCGACAGGCTTTTCGGAATAGTAGGAATTTTTGTCAAGCGGTGTTTGTATAAAATGAGACAAATAACTGTCAGTTATGTGTCCAAAACTTATGGCAGCTTCTCTGTGAAGGGTGTCATTCAAGAGTTTGCCAGTTGGAGGAGGAGAAGCATAGAAATCAACGTTTCAGTGTAAAATGCTGAACGTGCAGACAGTGGTAAAAAAAAAAAACAACAAAAAAACTTTTCTCTTATTTCTGAACCATGATCTACACACTGAACTGTGTAAGCAAAAAATAACAAAAGACAAAGTTTCATTTGAAAAGGCATTAAAAGACCCTCTCAAAAATATCAAGTCCTTGGTGATGTTTATGACAATAGGTAGTTTATCATTTAAATGTGATTTTAAACCAACCAAAATCAGATTTATCACACGTTGTAATCTTATGGGGAAGACTGTTGACTTGACAGTTGTTCAGCAGTAATTGTTAGGTCATTGCTAAAGAAGATGGCTTGTTGCAGTCTTGTATCCAAGCAAAGCAATAAAGTTTGGTGAAAGGAAAAAGTGTGCATTCCTGACACAAATGAGCAAAGAGAAGATGGCTCTGGTCACTCAGGAAGTCTAAAGTGCATGATGTTCTTTAAATGTTCTTTGGTGGAGGACATGCATTTTTGTGGCTTTTAAAAATAGTCAATTAAATTACTTTTTTATATTGTAGCCCTCAATTCACCAAAAAAAGTTGTGATTAAAACTGGTTTGGGTCTTAAAATTCTTAATGGACAATACTATATCATGACACACACACACAAAAAAGACAGTGTAGAGTTAGGTTCAAAAAAAAAAAATATCTTGCAAAAATAAAATTAAAAAATCCAGCAAAATAGCAGGAAGGGAAGTGTGCAGCTCCACAAGTCTGATTCATCCTTGGGTACAATTTCCAGGTGCCGCTGTCATCTGGTCACACAATTATGTCCGAGTATAAATATGATGAAAATGTGGAACCATCGGCCCCATCAGGGAATACACGGTGTCCAAGATATGAATGTGTTTTGGTGCAAAATGTGTGAAGCAAACCCAAAACAAAAAAAGGCCTTGTCAGATGTTGACTTGTACTGGCAAGAGAGAGCGCATTTATTCTCAGTGAAGCAATCCCTCAACTGACATGGGCTGAATGACCATTCAGAAAAGAAGAAGCCATTTCAACAAAAGCAATATAAAAGTCAGATGATGTTATTCTACAAATGCACTGAGTAAAAAAAAGAATGACATTCATTTGATCATATTAAATTTGAAATGTTCACATTAAATTTGAAATGTTCACCATCATGACTGCCTTGACATTTGGAGGACAAAGGAGAAAGGTTCTAACTCTGAGAACACCATCTTAATTGTTTAACTGTGAACTAAGGGGTGGCAGCATCATGTCCTGTTGAAGTTTGCTGCAGGAAGAACTGGTTCATTTTTTAATATTGCTGGCAATGTTAACAAAAAAATGTGAAAATATTGAAGTAAAATCTCAAGACTTTACTAAAGGTGGTAAAGGTTGGGCACATTGGGCCTTCCACATAAATAACTCTACCATCCAATTATTTGCCAGTTCTGTCTGGAGAAATGGGTCAAACATCCAGCAAACTATTGTGAGACGCTTGAGGATGGACAATTAGGCTGTTTTAATAAAATAAATTGTTCTCATCTTCAGGTAAAATGGTGCAAATACTAGCAAAATGTCAAATCAGCAGTGAAAATTTAGCTTGTAGTACCACACCTACAACATTCAATATAAACATCTGTATGAGTGAATTAGAGTACCTGATAAGAAAATTTCCTCCTATGGATTAAGTCAGCAGTCTTGCCTCTTGTAATGATCTAATAATAAAACCTACATTCAGCCATTTCTAATTTTACATCAAATGTGTTTCTTTGAGCATTAATATCTTCCTCACTATGCTATGCTGTTTTCATACTGCGAGCAACACATTAGATAAAAGCAAAATGAACAGGGCTTCATCAACACTCAGTCAAAAGATTAATTACACAAGAAAAACAGCAGAGCAAACGCTATTATGCTTCCATAATTAGGCCCTAGCTGTGTACTGAGACATGCAAACTATCAATGGGAACATTATCTCGTGTATCAGCATGGCGGTCAGCTGGCTCCTTTATTCTTGCCTCAAAAACTGCTTGTGGAGAGACAATGACTTCTTAATATGAATAATTCATAAAATATTTAATGTCAAAAGAATGTCAAATAAGTTTACAACTCGCTCATTTTAGTCATTTTGACACTTAGTTCAACAATATTTTATTTAAAAAAACAGTGCTGTTGTATTAAAACATTCTGAAAATCCAAAATACCTTGTGTGTTCAAGCTATGGTCAGCGACATAACACCAGCACTTGTCTGCATTGAGAAAAGCCCTGTAAAGTGATCATTTCCATCTGCGAATACACAAATTCAGACTTAAAATTACTTTATGCAACAATAACATGACACTACATGAACTGAAGCAGACCCAAAGGTAAATTGACCACATTTAGAAACACAAGAGTGAGTTTTAATGCAAATTGCCAAAAATGTGAAAGAGAAAATGTGAATTAATGTACATCAACACGAACAGATGGTGGTTGTAATTCTTCAGTTGGCTGCTTGAAAGCACTGCAGTGGAAGAGTGTAATTTAAAACACATTAAATCTGTAAGGAGGTAGCAGACTCCTGCTTATTTCACCTACTTCTGATGTTTCACATTTCTTGTATTTTCGTGTGTTCCCAGCAAACAGCACGTTTTTAGCAGTTTATTTTATTGATACACCTTTCAAAGATGATGCAGATTGTGTAGTTGTTTTAGAATCCATAGCAAGTTTAATCAGAATGCATTTCTTCTATTCCCACCTGGTATTTTGTCAGCTGCGGTATTTAAGAAGTAAAGTGATTACTGCATCAACCACTTCAAGCTTATGCATCTCTGACTAGATCTTCAAAGACTGAAGAAAACCCTAAAGGTTTTTGCGCAGCCATGTTATTATGATGTGAAAGGAAAACAATCTATTCAAACTTATGTACAAGGAGTCACAACATAGTGTTGGTAAATTAGCAGCAGGAGCAAATATTATATTTATATTTTTTGCAACAGGATTTAGCTGTGAAGAATCCTGACACTGTAGTTTACACTCCATCTGTCTCACAATGTCGTTGTTTAAAAATTGAGGGATTGTTAAGTTGTTTTTTAGAACACGACTCTCTCTTCCCTTTACTCCCAGTAAATAACCTCTGGCGTCCCTGTAGACGATGCAGCACTTCGGGTACACGCACTCCAGTACGGAAAGCCAGAGGCGTCAAAAACAAGTGACTTTTCATGTGATTTTAATGTGTTCTCAACGTGTGGTTTGTCCATTAAATGTGTGTCAAATTTCCCCGACTTCAAACAAAATAGTTTGTTTAAATTTCATGAATATTAAGCCTTTTCAGTCAATTTTCCTCTCTGCGGTGTCACTGGTTCCTGAGCTGCTGTGTGAAGCACTGACAATGGTTTCCAACATTCATAGAAATTACAACTTAGTTCTTTTTGCTGATATTTCCCTAATATAAAGAACTCGTTTTGGAAGTATGGCTTAACATGTCATGGCTGCTGTTGGTAGCACTGTTGCTTTGCACCAAACATATCCTGGGTTCCTGTGGTCATTCTTCAAGGAGCATGTTCTCCCTGTGCTTCTCTCACAGATCAGAAACATGACTGCCCTCTCTAAAAGTGTGTGTGCATTTTTTTCTTCTCCTGTTTGTCTCTGTGTTGCCATGTGATGGACTGGTGACCGTTTTTTTTTTTCTTGCCATTCTTCAATTTAGGCTTTGGTAGCTCTACCTAAGTTACCTGGGCCTCCTGCTTGGTTCTGTTAATATCGCTCTATTTTGACTGGGATCTGAGCTTAGGTAGACAGTCATGTCTGGGAAGGTGTGTAGTTGTGCCATATTCTTTATATTATCAGATGATGGATTAAAGAACGCTTCATGAGATTTCCATTAGAGCGATTAAGATTCCCAGTGTATGCAGTTCAAGAATATCACAATAAAATACACTGCTGCCTGTCAGCAAACCTGTTTTGGAACAATTTAACAAGAATCTCAACGACAGGCAGCAGATGAGAAAAAAAAAGGAAAAGAAAACAATCTTTTCCCCTGACTTAATTTGTTATTGCACCCACCATTGTTTCAGAAATCTTGCCAGCTTTTACACAAATCCTAAAGCTCAAAAATCAAACTTGATAGTTTCCAGAAGACTAATGGAGGCGAAGCTGCAGCATTTAGAGGCAGGCAACCCAGTACCATGATATCTATATTTGGAAACACCTCAGAAAGTTTATGCTGAAATATGGGCACCTGTGTTCCTCAAACATTTGGACTGCATCCTAGGCTTTGAAAAATATTGGATGATTAAACTAACAGCTTCACAAGCTGAAATAGGTCAGGAAAAATAACATACAGAACATAATGTACAGAAAATTTGGACAAATTATACAACAAGGCATCAGAAGACACGGTTTCCTATCAGCCACGGCTTTTAAATGTTTCATTTAGTATTCAGGGTAGTGAAAAACGCAACACAACCAACTCAAATCTTGTTGCTCTTTTTTCAAAAACCCAAAAAGGTTTGTCAGAAAATAAAGTGAATGTTTTCCAGGCAAATTCAATTACCCCTGTCAGCCCGTCATAATGAGTAACAGCCAGTGCATGCTCTCATTCAATTTTGGTATCCGTGGGGAACGATGTTTGTCTGATGTCTTGATTCTTTATTTTTTTTTATTTTATTTTCACAACAATGTTATTTCCGTGGCCAGCTTTGTATAGCAAAACATTCAAATGAAACGCTAATTTCAGTCTCTGTGCTGCAAAAGATGAAAGCTGCCTTTGCTTGCTTTTACAGTCAGAGGAGCAAATGCTTTTGGTGACAT